CGATCTCGGCGACGGACAACTCAACAGACAGTCAGAGACAGCACAGCACACAATGGCGGCGGCCCTATCCCAGTCAGAGCCTTCTGGCTCGCAGAATATCTCAGCCCTGCTTGAGACCCTCACCACGTGTCTCAACAGCACCGGATCATCGCTCCCCAAGACGAAGCGGGATGCGCCCTCAGATGTCTCAATCGAACCGCCGCAAGATGGCATCTCGCTACTTGACACCAAGTCCGATCTTCTCCTCTCCTACATGCAGAACCTCGTATTCTTGGTAATATTCCAGCTGAGGGGTCTCAAGTCATCTGCCGACAAGGACGCCGAAAAGAACGACTCGCTCCCGGACGATATCGTGAAGAAACTTGTTGAACTACGTGTCTATCTGGATCGCGGTGTCCGGCCTTTGGAAGGACGGCTGAAGTACCAGGTCGACAAGGTTATCAAGGCCGCAGAGGATGCGGAGCGGGCTGAGCGCGGAGCCACTGCCCCCAGGAAGAGCAAGAAGGCTAAGAAGTCCGCTCGCGACGAGGAGTCTGGCTCCGACGAAGGTAGCAGCGACAGCGAGGGAGACAGTGAGGAGGACGAGGAGGATGAGGATGAGGAGGAGGATATAGATGAGATGGCATTCCGGCCTAACGTATCTGCCTTCTCCAAGAAGGTCGAGCCTGAGGCCAAGCAGGATAAGGCGGCCGCGAGAGCTACAAGCGACGGCATCTACCGACCACCTCGCATCATGCCCACAGCCCTACCGACTACCGAAACCCGGGAGCGCAGGGAGCGCCCGCAACGCCGGTCCAATGTCATCGATGAGTTCGTCAGCGCCGAGATGTCATCCGCACCTATGGCCGAGCCCAGCATCGGAAGTACGATCGTACGCGGTGGACGACAGACGAAGTCTAAGAAGGATCGCGAGCGTGAGGCTGAGCGGACGAGATATGAAGAAACCAACTTCGTGCGTCTGGCGAAGGAGAGCAAGAAGGATCGGGCCAAACGTCTGCGTGCCGAGGGCCCGCGGGGCACCTTTGGTGGAGAGGAATGGCGTGGTCTTACCGAGGGAGCAGACCGGATCACGAAGCTCACCCGGAGAGCCCAGGGAAGCGGCTCAGCGTTGGATCGGAGTCGGAAGCGCAAGAACGAAGATGGACAGCGCGACGATGGGATGGGAGTGGGACAGATCTTCGAAAAGCGGCGCAAGAAGGTGGACAGCTGGAAGCGGTGATCGACTTGTATACATACTTTCCTCACTTTTACGATGCATCATTGATATTTCATTCTTCTCAGCGCTCTATACACACTGGATTGTTTGGACGTGAGCAACCTGGGCTGATCACTGAGCATAAAGTAGCCCGTCTGCACTGGATGCTTTGATAGCCAGAGTGATTTGCGATACCAGAAAAGTTAATTTCACTATCACATCTTTTCGCAGTGATGCAATTATTTATCTATTGTAGGAGCAGAACCTTACCAACAGGCACCAGGCACATTTCGCTGGTTGGCCGATCTTGAAACCAGAAAAGCAACCCGTCGCATCCGGCCTTTGCGACGCCCGCATCCATGACATCATCCCAACTCAGCTCAATAACTCTTCCCAGCTTTCCCCTCCAATTCCCTTCATGTGCCTTTATCTACTGTAAATATTTATGACAATAGCCTATCGACTCTCTCAATTCCATTATCCCATCCCTCAGAACCAAACCCGCCAAGAACAGTCACAAAATGGAAGACCCAGGTGAGTCCGTATCTCTCATCCACATGGCGCCGTACCTGTACCACCTCACCACCACCCAGTGAAACTAATCTAGGTAAATATCACAGCATCTGAAATTACCCCCATAATCCACCACCTCACGCAAGCTCCCCCAGATGACCAACAACGCACAATCCAGAAATACTTCACTCCCAGCGCAGCCTTCATCCACCCCTTCTGTCGCGTCTGGCCCTACCCGGGGAGTCGCTGGTTTATCGAGAGGATCTATCAATGGTACAAGATCATGTCGCCGCGAATTGAGCTGGAGGTGCATTCCGTAGGTGGGTGTTCTTATTTTATCGTCCTTTAACCCCTCTTATTAACGGGTAGCTAACAATTCGAATTCGACATAGCATACGACAAACCTAACCAAAAGCTCTACCTCCAAATGTCCCAGCTTTTCTCCATCTGGGCCATTCCCTTCCACCACGCCCATGTACATCTGACCACGGTCTTAGATCTCACTACGGATAGCGAAGATAATCGTACGCCGAGAACAGGGTCCGGCAAACGGTACTACATCAAGCAGCAGGAGGACTTTTACCAGACGTCAGAGTTTGTCAAGTTTGTGGCACCTTGGGGAGGGGGCTTGCTGGTCACTATTTGGCAGTTGCTGGCGACGGTGTTTTGTGTGTTTGGGGTGGTGCTGTTCTGGCCGGTGTTGTGGTTGGAGGAGAGGCGGTTGGTGGGTAATGGGAAGAAATGAGATGATATATGTGTGAAGTGGTAGGTAGGCTTGTATGGAGTGGTGGTGTATATACCCGGATATATGAGGATATGTGACATACAATAACTAATATTGGACTTCACGGGATGGTTTCCACACGTACAGTTCAGAAGACACGCTTCTGGAGGCAATTATATCACAGCTTTTAATGAAGGAATTTAGCTTCGTGCGTCTATGTCCCCTGTGGAAGGTCTTTAGAGCTGGATAACCAGGGCTCCATTCGACGGAGGTGTTCGTTCTTCGCTATCCATGGGACTCTTTTGGATTTGATCTACTAACCAGATTCAATTGACTGCGCAGTTATGGCTGGCTCGGTACCATTGGCAGTACTGCCGTGCCCAGAGAAGCATGACATGACGCTCTAGCCTACTACCGGCATCAGAATATAAAAAAGCCAAGACTGGAGTCAGATATATATTCTATCTACTGGGGTGTAGATGTTTTCCGTGGGCATACATACAATAATACACTATCTACCCAAGTATTCAACATACATGCCAGGATGTGGTCCGAATTACACAACGGATGCTGCAAAATCATGACGCTCAAGACCAACCAATTCGAGTGCAATTGGTTCAAAAAGAAATCAATCGCCCCTTCGGTCATCCGTTCTACTTACTCGTAGTAGCGATAGGACCGAGAAAGGACAAAAAGATGGTCCCAGAGGGGCTCGAACCCTCGACTTTGACGTTATTAGCGTCACGCTCTAACCAACTGAGCTATGGGACCCAGTTGATATCTACCCGCTTTGTTTTAGTAAACATGAACCAACTGTAAAGTCTGCGGCCTGTGCATAAGCTATGTAATCAATCAGTTCAGCGATATACTTGAAACGGTAACTCTACAGTCGGTCCTTTTCATAGCGGTATAGGGCATTGTGCATGTTATTCGGCAGTCAACTACCTTGCAATGAGGGATTGCAGTGGCTATAGGAGAACAGATACCAATCGGGATATCAGAGATGTTGCATCACGCCTTATGTCATGGTCCTACGTGGATGCTTGGTGCCTTTACACCTTGTATATTGTGCGGCTTCATATGTGGGTGGCTGCAGGATCCGTAGAGAGATCAAAGTTGGCTATTACTATTTGACTTGTTGTGATGTCTAGGGCCTTTTGATCTATCTGGGTTCAGTTGATATACCTAGGTACCCTTCTTGATCAATTCTGCCCACTCAGTCAAATGAAATGAACGACCGGATAAGAATTCCGTCAGCGGAGACCGTTAAGCAGATGACTAGCGCCATCACGCAGTCAAAGCTAACAACAGGTCATCGGACCTTAAGCTTAGCCATTGGACACTTTGCCCCTCCCATATTCAATCATCTAGGATAATAAAAAATAGAAAGTGGGTGAACAGCTCAACAGCCCAACATGCCTCCTTTTTCATCCTATCCACAACCCACATTTTGCTCCACTCTTTCATATGCAAAACTCTGCATGGCTCATGTAGTCCCACATCAGCCGACGACACAACAACCGGGTCCCATAGCTCAGTTGGTTAGAGCGTGACGCTAATAACGTCAAAGTCGAGGGTTCGAGCCCCTCTGGGACCATCTTTTTGCAAACTTGCAATGCACATTGCAACTTGGTTTGGGTAGTGGGTCGCATTGCAATTCTTTTTGTATGGTTGCATTGAATTGGAGTGGGATGTATGGTGTTATCAACAAGGATGGTGTGTTTCAACACAATCGAATCTCATTTTGTCTACGCTTGGCACATATGGGTTGAATGTTAATCGAAGTTTACGGCCAATGTTCAAGATAGTTCAAGTCCATGAATATCATATATAGAACACGAGTGCTGACAGTTGTCGTGTGGGGATATATACGGATGGAGATCAACGGCTCTAGTACGGCCGGGTTGGTATGTCAGTTAGCAATGCACTCAGTCATTACACCTCTCATAGGATCACCAAACACTACAATCGATTGAAAGATGATATTGGAATCATGATAATTTTGTTCCATGACACTAAAAGATGAGTGAGGATGGAATCGATCAATTCCAGAGGGTGAAATAAAATAAGGAGATCGATAAGCAGTGGTTGGAACCACACCATGCGTTACGCAAATTCGACAACGTACTGAAAAGGGTACACATAACTACTAGTTGGTCTATTTCAACGAAGGGAAAAAGCTATAAGCTCCTGGGTTAACCCCAAAGACTAGTAGGAGACCAGGTGAATTAGCAGTGTGTAGTGACTCAGGTTGTCGCCATGGTTATCCCGAAATATCACAGGCATGTCGGAAATATCATGCTCAGCTAGCTAGTCCTCGGTCACGGTGGACAGGGGATGGATATTATGGGGCGGCCAGCCCTGGGATAGTGTCTAGTACCGGGTCTATGGTCAAACAGAAGTACAGCGGTAAGGTATACTATAGACACCACACCTATTAGCTCGGGTCAAGGCTATGGATATCCGCCCTCATCTTGGGTGGCGGAGAAGTACAATGCTACGTACAACAGAAACTGCTAGACAACCCATGGAATAATAGAATTCTTCGGACAGTATCCGAGTACCACCCATACATAGACCTAATTCATGTCCCATCTCACCCAAAAGTATCATCGTCATCTACCCCACCCAATGGCCATAGACGTCAGCATGTGCAGATTTAGGCCGACGGAGTTGCTGTTGAACTTCTTCTTATTTTGCTTGTCCTACAGAGTTATCACTCACAAAGAAAAGTCGACACTCCATGCTCTGTCGAAGCAAATCACTACCGTCCCTGCACTCGTAACTATCCAGCAACTACTACGGATTTTCCTGGATGTTTTAACTTCTGGCTCATAGAGCAAGGAATTTCTGCAACATACAACAACTGGTCCCATAGCTCAGTTGGTTAGAGCGTGACGCTAATAACGTCAAAGTCGAGGGTTCGAGCCCCTCTGGGACCATTTCTTTTTGGTTTTTACCAGCCCACATTTGCGGTGTGTTCCGTGTTTTATACTCGGACTATCTTAATCTCCGCTCGGCGCAGATGCTTGCGTGTTCGATGTCTATCATGTCATATGCTTTTTTTATGCCCTTGGGTCCATGTTTATGCTTGGAGGCAGCCAGGGGACACCCGCTTGAGCAGACATGGAAGAGATTAGGATCATCCGACAAGGACCTGCCAAATCCGGCGTGTTGCCTAAATTAAGCCGAGCAGGTGGACCAGCACATGTGATTTCCCAGAGCAGCCGGACAGGGATGATGGCGGTGCTAAATCGTGGACGTTTTCTAACAGGGCTTAGACAGGTGGGTTACGCCAATCACACGCCAATAAACTGACATCACGCCGGTCAGGGTCTGGCTTTTAGTGTGGCTGGTGCTGCACTGCTGCCCCGCTCGGACTGTCCAATTATAACCAATGGTGGCCGACAATCCCGTTGTCGTCATCCGTGGACCGGCCATCCACAGCCCTGGAAAGCATCCAGGAAATGGCCGTCCCTATCCACTGATCGGCTGGCTGCGAAGCCTGCATGGCTATTTTGCTGCCTTCGCTCCAACAAACTCTGTCTCGTCTCCCTCCGCTTTTATATCACGGGAGACCCGGCCCTAACTAAGCCTTACGGTTTCTCACCAATCTTCTGGTGTAAAACTCCAGTAAATCCATCTGCCTAACCCGCCTACACTTAACCCTATACATCCTGGGTCCCAACTCCTACTATACGAATTAGTCCGCTTTTATATACCAAGCCTCTTTGATTCAACTGCCCCAATATGGGCTTCGGCGGCGTTCTCTTGCGCGCTTCCAACCTCTCCATCCGTGTTCTCCAGTTCCTCGCCGCAGCTGTTATTCTCGGCATCTTTTCTTTCTTCCTTGCTGTTCTTTCTCGACATGACCAGGATATCCCGCGTTGGATGAAAGCCGTCGAGGGTCTGTCCGGCGCTGCGACCCTCTATGGCATCCTCGGTATCCTTTTCACTTGCTGCCTCGGCGGTGTCGCCTTCTTCGCCTTTCTCGCCATCGTCCTCGATGTCTGCTTCATCGGTGCCATGATCGCCATTGCTATCATGACCCGTCATGGCACGCAAAGCTGCTCTGGTCGCGTGACCACCCCTCTTGGGTCTGGTAATAGCAGCGATGACTCACCGTCGGGGACAAGTTATGGCTATGCCTGCGAATTGGAGAAAGCTGCCTTCGCGGTGTCGATTATTGGGATGTAAGTTCCTTCCTCCACCTACCCGGTCCCTTCTCTCTTGGCCAATGTCAGGGGGTAATCGATGTAAAACTTGATGTGATGCTAATGATATCGCGCAGCGTCTTCTTCTTGATCTCAATCCTCCTTCAAGTCCTCTACGCTCGATACCACAAGCGCGAGAAGCGCTTTGGCCCCTCCCCCGCAAATGGCTACACCTCCGGCACTACCCGGGGCTTCGCCTTTTGGAGGAGAAACAAGAACAACCCCGATACTGCTAGTGCCGATGACATGCTGCCTTCGCATCCATTGCCCAGGGATGTGGAGCTTGGTGCGAACGGCACAACAGCAGCAGAGAAGGAAGGTGGCTTGAATGGTACCAATGTCGGCGCTACCACCGCCAGTGGTGGATATATGCCATGGAGAAGCAATGTGAATAACGGTACTGCAACTGCGGGGCAGACCGGGACTTACGGCTATGGAAATTCAGCATATACGGGAAATTATTAAGGGGTAAGATGCAAGGGGTGCTAGGAAGTACGTGGTATGTACAGACATACCAGGAATGACACAGAGGGGTGTGATGACCTCCCCCAATGTGGCAGTCGCTGGGAAAGTGATGATTAATGAAATGACTCAACTAAAAGATACCATGGTTCTTGGTTTTCTGGATGGGATGGTTCAATATTGCAAAGTACATACTGTTTTGCTTCATTTGTTTGAAAATACTACACAGCATTTGGTTCAGCTGCGGGTACTGAATTCCTTGCACTTGACAATAATTGTAATAGTCGTTTCATTTGTACCATGTACATACCTTTTTGGAAAAATGTGTGATTCTTCATGTACTTTGGAGTAGGATTCTGCTTATCTCCACCTGTCAAATGACTCTCACCGACCCAGTCCCTGACTCAGTTGGCGGCCTCAAGGCACAGGCAGAACAAGATCCTGACTAAGAGTGGTTGTGACCGAGACTAACCCGTTTAAGAGCGCGCGACTGCAGGAACCAGCGCCGAAGCGGGACTAGCGCCGATCGCGTTTGGCCATCGGGGCTCTCGCTCTTCCTCTTGCATCATCTCGACGCCTTCATCTGTCCATACGAACATCCCTTCCTACCCTGAACTCAGGAGGATGATGCATCGTGATCACTGTGTCTAGCTTTCGCTTTGTTCCCTGACAGTGCAAGCCTGAAACCTTCTACTGGATGTCTTTGTGGACCTTGCTGCCCAGGCAGAGGTTCCATCACGCTCTCCTTCCAGTCCAATATGTCGGCTACTACCATGGCCCCCCGAATTCTGGCTCCCAGCTCGGCCAGGTTCGCCACCCAATTTTCATGCGAATGATATCTAAGCTCGCAGTGGCAACCCAACTCAATTCTGTTGCACCAACCCACATCCCCTGTCCTTCTTTAGCTACTGTGTGTCGCAGACATATATCCAGTCGTGCTATCACACATCCCTGTCGATCGTCTAGGCCCGTGACGGCATCTGCTCAAACCTTCGTTTCCCCAAGGTTACTTCCAGCAGTTTCACGCGTTGCCTCCAACGACACTCTGGCCACAATGGCAAATGATGAAGTCATGCAAAATGGGGTAGATGGTAGCCCCGATAATGAGGTACAAGATGCCGATCTCAAGGGTACTCTGGGTGCCAGTGAACTAGGAAAAGGTTCACCCATGGATCCAGAGTCAGACGAAGACGTACCAGTTGAGGCAGAGGAGCTTCAGGACGCTCTCACGCGCGCCCCTCCGGTTAATAGCAGCTACCTACCCCTCCCTTGGAAGGGAAGACTAGGCTACGTAAGTTTGCAACATCATCTCTTGAAACCAATTCTTATGCTGTACAGGCATGTCTGAATACGTATCTACGATACTCGACCCCGCCCGTTTTCTGCTCCCGGACCTGCCGCATTGCCTCAATCTTGGAAAACAGACATCCCCTCTCGGATCCTACGCAGCCGGCTCATCCGACCAAGAATCGGCCAGATCGGGATCAGCCCGCTGATGTCGCGCGTGGTCAGGCATATGTTGAGGCTTTAGGCCTCACAAATGCTCGCGATCTTGTCAAAATGCTGCGCTGGAATGATCGCTACGGAATCAAGTTCATGCGATTGAGCAGCGAGATGTTTCCATTCGCGAGCCACAAGGAGTACGGCTACAAGCTGGCCCCTTTTGCCTCCGAAGTATTGGCAGAAGCTGGTCGCGTTGTTGCCGAGCTCGGCCATCGTGTGAGCGTGCATCCCGGCCAATTCACGCAACTTGGTTCTCCCAAAGACGAAGTGGTGGAAAGCTCTATCCGAGATCTAGAGTATCACTCGGAGATGCTCCAGTTGCTTAAACTGCCGCCCCAACAGGATAGAGATGCTGTCATGATCCTCCATATGGGCGGCGTCTTCGGCGACAAAGAAGCCACTCTTGACCGGTTCAGAGAAAATTATAAAGGCCTATCGCAGGACATCAAAAATCGGCTTGTCTTGGAGAATGACGATGTCAGCTGGTCCGTTCACGACCTCCTTCCCATCTGTGAAGAGCTGAACATACCCCTTGTACTCGACTTCCACCACCACAATATCATCTTTGATTCGAGCCAGCTTCGCGAAGGCACGCTAGACATCATGTCCTTATTTGATCGAATCAAGGCGACATGGACCCGGAAGGGCATCACGCAGAAGATGCACTATTCCGAGCCGGAGCCGTCTGCAATTACGAACCGCCAGCGTCGAAAGCATAGCCCCCGGGTTTCCACACTTCCTCCCTGCGATCCCACCATGGATCTGATGATTGAGGCTAAGGATAAGGAGCAGGCTGTTTTCGAACTGATGCGGACATTCAAGCTGCCGGGTCACGAACTTGTCAATGATATTATACCTCACGTTCGTAATGACGAAAACAGGCCGCATAAGCCGCCGAGAAAGACCAAGAAGAACGGAGGCTTTGTCGATCTGGAGGGACTTGTTCCACCTCCTCGGACTGTGCCGGAAGAAGAAGTGGGCATGGGTGGTCCAGAAGGGCGGGTCTACTGGCCGCCTGGCATGGAGGAATGGCTTCGACCGAAAAAGATCGTTCGCACCAAAGCTATCCAAAGTCCTCGCCGTACTCCTTCCACGAAGAAAGCAGCAGTCGAGAATGGCGAGTCTGTGCCACAGGAAGTTGAGCCGACTGGAAGCGCTCCAGCTACGCCAGTTTCGAGGAAGAGGACAACCAATGCGAAGAAGCAGGTCTCCAGGAAGCGGAAAGCTTCTCCGGAGCCCACTCCGTCAGCTTCAGATGAAGAAGCAGCCGAAATTTCATCGAGACCGGCTCTTAAGCGATCCCAGAGCAGTGGTGTTCGTCGAAGCCGACGAGCAAAGAAGGTGGACTACACTGAAGATGCAGATTCGGTCTGATCAAAGAAGGTACCCGCCTTGGCTATAACTACGCATTACTGCGGGCACCTTGGTCAATACACGTTGGCGACTGGCCTTACTATTCCAGCTCTACCTTCCGAGCCAACGCATGCAGTTAGCAGAGAACTCCGACTGCGTCGGGTAGACCTGTCTTGGGACTTCTATGCATTAACGATTTCCTGCCATGATAGATTGGCTTTGACAGCCGTCGACATGTTATCATACATAATGCCTCTATCGATAGACTACTTGTACATGTTTGGGTATGTATATAGACGGGGTTTGGAACCCTGCATGTTGGCTGAAATTGCCTACTACATGCATGCCTAACATAACGCGATCTGAATATACATATATAATGGCTGAATTGAAGTGAAATATCTAATGTTCCTCGCGGATGCATCGTGAAGGTCAACGTAACGGGACTATGACCCTGGCAAAACAGCGGCACTACCCAAACAAACAATGCCTTCCATTCATTTCCAGCCACAAAACGACAAAAAGTCAACACCGTTTCCTAGCACGATCTTTGCATCTGTAATACCAGGTAATCCATTATGCGCTGAATGCCGCGAAAAAGCAAAAAGAGATGGTCCCAGAGGGGCTCGAACCCTCGACTTTGACGTTATTAGCGTCACGCTCTAACCAACTGAGCTATGGGACCCGGTTGATGTAAGCTGCAGAGTTTTAATGCTACATAAGATGTAGTGGTTACTGACGGCTCAACAGAGCCAGTTCGGTGCTTGTCAATTACTCTTTTGATATTCAATGTTGTGGGTTGCCAAAGAATTTGATAACATGCCCTGTGTCTAGTTTCCCCACTTATACACTATTCTATAACTAAGATCGCGTCGTCTAGTGACAACTTCAGGTCTAGGGTGGAATTAATATATTCCCACCACTGCCTTCGACGCATGGCACTGCGCTACACTCTTACTACTTATTGATTGCAGCTGCAAACATGCCGTAGCAGTCTGAGCATTACCCATCCAGGTCACCACCACTACTCGTAAATAGTGAGCTGCCATGACTTCAGTAGTAAAAACTAGTCTAGAATTAAAGATACAACATCCTGACTCAAAATCAGAAGCCATCTTGCTCAATCTGATCTGAACATGAACCAATAATTCGTGCACATCTGCGAGTCTGTTTCAGAAAGGACAGACGGTGGCTATCCGTTGCTTATGTATATATGGAATTGTTACATCGAGCCTAGCCGATCGGATAACTGATCAAAAAGGGTTAAAGATCATTGTATGCACGTGGTGGACTGAGAATTTAAACTCACGATTCTACGCCTAGGCTTTTATGATGGAGGCCGGAAATGACGGGTTAAGATCTCAGTTTTTATTTTTAACAGTGATGCTACCGGGAATAGCTACATTTTAATTAACTACTACCAAAGGAATTGTAGAAAGTAGAAGAATATAAGAAATGAGGACGTAATACTAGTAGCATGTAGTTGAAATGGCTGAGCAGTTGCAGATTCAGATTGGATTCAATCTTATAAGGTATATATCCTACTAGACTATTCATGGTACTATATATTGGGTCTATCATGTTGCTTAGCGCGCCGTTATCTTCTATATATATTAGGATTCGATCTCTATATTAGACCATAGTGGTACTCCAGACAGTGAGATATATAAACATAACAAGCAGCAGAAAGTCAAAAGGGCTCATTCTAGCACCCCTCCTCCAGAACTCCTTGTAGCTTTTTGTCTAGAGTACTCGAAGCTGACCGATATCATAGTATAAGACTCACGAAAAGCGAACACGAGCCGGCTAGAAATTCGTAACGATCACACCATTTGATGCTAGCAAAAGGCAAGTAGTATCTCCGGGAATCAGGTCAATGATAAGGCAGACCTGGCTTTGTTTCAATCCAATCATCTGGACATTTAGTATAGTAATCTGAGTAGTAAGCAGCGGCGCATACATAGGCTCTCAGGCATATTAGGCTTTTTTATGGTGCGACTGATTTCAGCCTCAAGCACATGGCGTACTCGCTCCGTCTGCAGGCGGATCTGACACATGTGCTTGATACCGTGTACAGCCGAGGTTCGTCAACGATGTTAGGCCCTGACAAGGCAGGTCAGGGTAAAAAGCACGAACTCGACCATGGGGGCCACGTGGAAAAGCTAGGAAGAAGGTGAAATCGAGGAACGAGTGCGAAGAACGTGTGGGGGCCGCGGGGGGATCTGTCAGCCCTAACTTCCTAGTTCGGCATCTTGCGCTTAGCCACGCCGCCAGCGGTGTATCGCGCCACCTTTCGGCCCCAAATTGAAACAATTTGGCCCCAACCGGGTAAGCAGTGCCCCAGGGGACCAGTGACCTCTTCAGTTGCTAGGGAGATTGGGAGCTCGTTAGCGAGTGGCGAAGGTGACCAACGGCCAGTCCGGCTTCGTTTTCCGATCTGTCTCTGTAGGTTCAATCCAGGCTAAGCGGCCATCTAAGTGGTGTGATCGTCTAGCTGCGCAGAGAAGAAGATTTTTCATATGCAGGTCGGAGGGGCTCGCAAAGTCTGACGGCTCCAGTACTGCCATATATGGCAAAAGCTCCATTAGACGAAAGGCGCAGCTTTCCGGTTGCCTATGCCGAAAGAAGATACAGATGATGATGGTGCCTTTTGCCAGACCAATTGCTATTAAGAAAGAAACAGCACGGGTTCGACCATGTAGGTAGATGGTGGCGGTGGAGAGAACCGTGCGCACAAAGTCAGGACTTCCAGCGTCCAAGAGTTCATGAGCCGGCTTCCTGGTTGTAGAGCTACTGCGAGGAGGCAAAGCACACGAAAGCAGTTCCTAATGCCGGGAGGTCATCTCGTGTAGCAGTGTGGATACTCTTGAGAGTTCCCCAGTTCGTAGTTCGGCTTGCCCGATCGCATATGCCCGCTTACCCTCGTCCAAAGGAATAAGGTGGTCGGTGGGGGCCGAGTGTCATGCATCTTCCAACCGAGCAATGTGATCATGGAGTTGTGTCCTAGGATGAGGCTCCTTCCATCAACGGCAGTGAGTTGCACCTAATGTTAGCTCTTGAGCCCCGCTGCTATACTAGAGTACAACTTGTGTGATCGCATGTCTTTGTCGATCGTCCAATAGTAACTAGTCTCTGGGCTATATGTCTCTAGTGTTGGTGAAATGGACTTCTAGAAAGAATGATAAAATGAGTTAGCCCGTATTTATTGGCCAATGGAACCCCTCTTTGTCTGCCAACCGTACAAAGGTTGAAGCACCAACACGTTTGCTCTGATGCGGAGATGAACCGCATAACAGCACACAAAGAGCGGAAAGGTCATCCTAGGCTGTAAGAGAATTTGAAAAGGGCTTGAAACACACTGCTGATGTTCTAGCGACCATGCAGGTCGATGTCGACCCCAAGATCTTGCATATGCAAAACGCGGGGAAGCAGGGAACCAACGACATCTGTATGTTAGTCTTATATGGGTGGTAGACAGGCGCATCAGAGATGGCTGTGCAGACTGAGGGATTATAGGCTATTGAGCCAGCTGCTGATTGATGAGGTCCTCTCAGCGTGAATAGGATGTACATGTTGCACTCCAAATCCAAAATACAATGGTAACGGATCGATGCTCGGTAGACTCATGGAAGTTTCTGGTGGAAGCCAGCAATTCAAGACCCAGAGATTTTTGGCAGCGTAAAGGAGTGTGCACGAGCCGACATTTAACCCGCGTGACTTCCACTGTGGTATCAGGAAGAGGGAAACCAAGTGTGGGATCCACTGGGCGGAGATTGCAGGGCTGGGATACAAACTCTACACTGACTCGAGGTATAGCAGGTGGGAACATGAAGCTCATCCATACCCAACTAGCTGTAGAGCTTAAAGCTACTTTAAAGCTTCTAGAGTATTCCCAGCTGGCATGACCGTGCACTGTTTCACGATCGTGTCAAGTAGCAAGATGAAAGAAAAGATAGAATATAGGGTAAGACAACTCGACACGAGGTATTGTGACTTCCTGATTGGCTTCGAGAGCTGCAATCACGTGGAAGCCACGTGGACTCGGTCGCAACTCGAAAAGGAGGACAACAAAGGCAATCTCATCTCAGAAGTCACCTTTGCATCTCCCAGCTTTATAAATGCCATATACCACGCACTCAGGCGTTGGAGGGATCTGAGCGACCGTGATCCACGATGTCCCCGAATTTCCCGATCGCCTGTTTAGGCAGATCCCGAGTCCCGGGAGAAGCTGCTCCTCAATCAATCACAATCACTCCATGACCAAAGCGTCTCCCATCTCCGGCCCTGGATCGACGGACGCGTCGGCACTTCTTTTGCTTGGAGGTGTCTGGTACAATTGTCCGATGGATTCCAGTCGCAATATCTGGCACCCCCGAAAACCCTTCCAAATAGGGGCTAGACGCCGTTCCCACTTTTCTGGCAACTGGTCCGGGTCCGACTTACAAAGTACGAACCTGCCAACGACCAGCTCCGTTAGGGAGTTCCTCCGTGGTGAGTGACCCCTGCTACCTTAATTTTCTTTTATTATGCTTATTAAATTTTCTCCTTAGCTGCCTAATTGCCAGCGGCCGCAGTGAAAACAAAAATCATAATATCAGGCCACTGCTTGGGCCACGTGCGGACGATGGAGCTTCGCTGATAAGCCCTGCACGGTTGGGGCCAAGATGAAATCCTCGAATGCTGACGCACAGATCGACTTGCTTCTGTTGGCTTCACTGATGCATGAGACACTTGAAAGCCTCGCATCTGCACCATAAGGACTGAACCTTGTCCCCGTTTCTCAATCATACGAACCCCCGATGGTCGGGGCGCAGTCCATCGAAACAGCTAATATCCGACAACGACCTAGCGCGATTCAATTGATTAGCTTGATTAAACCAAATTGCGCCTCGATTGCAAGGCACTCAAGGTCTGACAGGCCGGGTGGAGATGGCCGCCAATGCGCCCCCACTTACCCTCAAGCGTGGCCGGGAGAAACCCGGTGATCCTGTTTGCGACGCTAGCTAGTCACTGTAGCCGTGCTGAATTCTAGAATCCACGCTGTGCTGATGGAAGGATGGAAACCAGCCCCCAGAGTCATGGTTGGATTACATCACTAGCCAGCGTTAGGGTCTACAGCCACGATCCTCACATTGGCTGTTCACAATTTTCATTAACTGCCCGCTCCTGGCCCCTAAATCATGGATAGATGAAAAACCCGATGGGCCCCGGAGCCAGTTCGTCGTCTATTATAGGAACTGTTTCTCCCACAATGCCCCTGCGTGTACCAAATTTTCTGTAAACCCACAGATATGTCCAGTCCCTTTGGTGAGCCGCCCAAGGGCCTCAATCTCGAGGAGGACAGCACGGGGAGAAATGATGCCGCCGTCGTCTGCATGTATGCCCTGGCCTTTGTGACCATTGGCTTTCGGTTATTTTCCCGGATAAAGGTCCAGCAGGCCAACATAGGGCTTGATGACTGGCTGATAGTAGGAGCACTGGTATGCTGTACTCTTTCGTTTGAGAACTGTTGTTCTAATTATGCTACAGTTATCAGGTACTGCCAACATGGCTTGTGCAATAGCAGGTTCGTAATAGCCCACCCTACTTAGAAATGTACTATGCTAACATTGTTTTTAGGAGGACATTATGGCCTTGGGAAACATGTTTGGGTTGTCACTCTAGATGAAATAATCAACATGGTGCATGTAAGATACCCTTGGTAGCCTTCTCTCGAGGAATGTCGGACTCACGTCAATGCTTTAGATACTATACGCCAACGTGCTCCTCTATATCCTCACCGTTCCCCTCATCAAAGTCTCCATCATACTATCATATCGCCGACTTTTCGGTATGCAGTGGACCATGTGGGCTTGCATCGCCCTGTCCATCGCCTACTGGATAGGTTGCTCAGTCGCCTTTCTATGCTCCTGCCAACCAGTCTCATATTTCTGGACACAATACGAAAACCCTCTCGGCGGTTACGTCCGATATGATATTTACCCGTTCTACATTGCTCATGCCGTCGCCAACATGGTCGGCGACCTTCTCATCCTTCTCGTTCCAATTCCGCTAGTCTGGCGCCTGAAGTTACGAGTGGGACAGAAGATCCAAATTCTAAGCATCTTCCTTCTAGGTGGCTTGTAAGTCAACTACAACACACCCCCGCCCTTCCCCCAATTAACCCCAACTAATAAATAACCAACAACAGTGTGTGTGTCGCCAGCGCCATCCGCATCTACTACTTCACCTTCATCAATGACGTTGACGTGACCTGGAACCTGGGCAACGTTTTTATCTGGTCCAGTGTTGAACCATCCATTGGAATTGTCTGTGCCTGCCTCCCCGTCCTCCAGCCCCTTTTCCGAACAATTATCAACCGCGGGAGCATGCCAAACCGACCCACCACAAAAGGCGTCCGCTTCGCACCCGATATCATGAGCAAGATCCACGGCGACGATCGGAGACAGACACGAGAAGATGAAGCCGTTTTAACAACAACGTCAGTACATATCGAAATGGACGGTGCAGGCAAGGGGAGGATCAGCGATGAAGAAGAAGCCATGGGGTACGATCTAATGTCTATCAAGGTGCAAAAAGATTTTCAAATGGAGGAAGAGCATCGTCGATAACTTTTTTTATGGTGTTATGTTGCGGGTGTTTATCGGGCATCTTTTATATTTTTGTTTTGATCGATCGTTTAGCGTATAGGTGGGGTTCTTTTCAAGCTTGTACATACATAGACTTACTTACCTCAAGGTACATACCCCTCCCTACTGGAGAGATAATAAGATAATCTCCACAAAGACACGATGTTGTGTTGCAGGTTGTAATTAAAGTAGAAAGTAAAAGAATTTGTTTTGGAAATCTACATTGACTGCTGATACTTGATTTAGGGATTTTCTGACTAGTATTTGGAGCTAAGCTGGCTGGATTGTGTCTAGGGCAAATGCTTTCATACTCAGTGTTTACTTTTCATTGTAAACCTTGGGTGGCTGCTTCAGAACCAGTGACACTAGTCTTCGACTAGTAGTGTGAATACTAAAATTTTTGGCCAACATCCAATTTGAGTGTAATGGAGTGGGCTCATGAGGAATTCTGAAAACTTCGTCAATATGTGAGTGGGTCAAGGCTGGTAGATGTACTATGTAAACCGATCATGCGAAGCGGTCACCATTTATAGTATATCCGCTGTACTTAGTCCACACGCTAAGTAATTTTTAGCGATATCAAACCGATGGATACCATCATCATAAAGGATGGGTGATAGTATGGCGAGAACAAATCTTTCTTTCCCTATTACGTACAGCATCATCTACATATGAAGATGAGTCTAGTCCGTTATAACTGATTTTTTTTTCTTTCTTACTGATTTGGCAGAAAACGGTATCATGACTTGAGAATTTAGCGTCCTGGATGATGTTAGAAGAACATGAGACAGGAAAATGGGTATCTGCAAATGGCCTTGCCTAAGTCATTTACTATGTATTCTCGTCGGTAAACGGAGTCATTTTTCCCACCTTCATTTGCCCTCTCCCACCCGGAGGCGCTGGTTCCGGCTAGCTCTTCACTCTCTTCCAGAGACGCACGTACATCTCATGCTGGTAGGCAAACCAAAAGGACTCAATCCGCCACGGGCGGGTGGTGTCCACCAGTTCGATGTCGAAGGTATGCAACATCAGAGCGATGAACTTCAGCATTTCAACCTGCAGATTGATAGCGTTCGTCAGCGGTGATACTTGCTTCTAGAACAGCACGAAGGGGGAAAAGGGCACATAGCAAAGCAAGAAGAAGAAGAAGAGAGAGAGAGAGAGAGAGAGAGAGAGAGAGAGAGAGAGAGAGAGAGAGAGAGAGAGAGGAAAATATAACCCTTACCAAGGCAATATTACGCCCAATGCACATGCGGGGCCCATTCCCACCGAAGGTCATCGTGACCGACTCAAAGTAGCGGGCGCGGACGGGGTCCTCGAGCCATCGCTCCGGGCGGAAGCAGTCGGCGTCTTCGCCCCAAATGGCGCGATCGCGGTTCTGGGCCCGCGGGCTGATGCCAACCGCCGTACCAGCAGGGATCGCGTGACCTGCCACTGTCATTCCCCCCGGGGAGGGAGCTCGTCGGAGCAGCTGGTAGACAATGCTGGGGTGCAGGCGCGTCGCCTCGGACACCACTGCCTGCAGGTACGGCAGCTGTCGGGCCTCGTTGTAGGAGATTCCCTGCTGACCCTCCGGTCGGGCGGCGAAGTACTCGTCGATCTCGGCCTGGAGACGCTTATATACTGCCGGGTGGGTGCACACGTAGTACAGGCAAGCCCGCATGCCGATAGAAGTCGTGTCAGCTCCTGCCCCTCTGTATTGGGGTTGTTAGCCATGAGGTAAGTAAGGGTGACTCACGGGGGTTCATACATGATATTCATGGCCTCGATGAGCACCTCCCCTTCCGACGCCGGGTTTCCATTGGTATCCTTCATCTGGACGAAGTGATGGAGCATGTCCTTGCGGGTGGACTTCCCCGGGGTGGGTGCGGCGCTCTCCTGCATACGGGCCCGAACGCGGTTAACGCTCCACTGCCGGAAGTGGTGGAAGCTGTTTGGTATGCCCAGCCAGCGCGTAAGGGTAGCGGTCGTCGGGGAGGTCAGGAGCCGGCTCTTGCCGGGGTAGTGGCCCAGATTGGCCATCCAGAAGAAGCCGGTGAGAATGGCCTGGCGGATGCCCATGACGTCGGAGCCGGTGCGGACGTGCCCTAGCTGGCTGCCGTAGGCGAGCTCGCCGACGATGTCGTAGGCGACGGCATTGGTCCACTCGGCCATGTCGACGGCTTTCCCACTGTCTGCACGAGCGGCCAGCTGCTCTAGCAGAAGGTCGAAGCAGCCCTGGATATAGGCCTCGAACTCGAGGATGGCGGTCATGGAGAAGGCGCGCGATACACGCCGGCGGAGGAAGCTGTGCTCGGTCCGGTCCCGCGTTGCGAACAGCCCCGGGGCCGTGCCGGGGACGTCCCAGGTCTCGTACCAGTCGGTCTTGACCACCTGTGTGCCATGGCCGTACAGCGCCCGCGCCGCCGCCTCGTCCACGATGGACACCTCGTTGGGCGCGATCCGCACCACCCGCCCGTACCGCGCGTGCAACGCCAGCACCACGTCGTGCCACTGGCCCCGCAGGTAGTACCAGTTGCGCCACATGCCCGTGAACCGTGCGAGAACCGGGCCTGGGACCTTGGCCAGCGGGTGCAAGAACTGGCGGTACAGGACCAAACATACCAGGCCTGCTGCCACGGCCACCAGTGCAAGCCTGGTTGGCGTGTGAAGGTGGCTCGTTCCCGCCATGATGGTGGACGTGGCGCCGACGGATTCGGGCTTCAAGCTGCTTGGCAGCCAGGTGAAACGGTGGCTAACCATGCTGGGGGGTTCTTCCCGTCAAAGTAATAGGTGGAAAGGAAAGCTATGCACAGCGCCGAGGAAAGAGAATAACGGTAACGGGTAGGGTGTATTGGTCCGCTGGGAGGAATCGGGAGCCAAGTTACACATATTTCCCCCGGATTCTGGGTAGCCATCAGAGCGAGCTCCTTGGGGATTTTGTGGCAGCACACCCCACACTCCGTCGATCACCTTCCCGCTTGTATGTGGGGGATGCGGATGTGGATGACCTCGATCTTCGTCTGTCTATTTGCTGATTGGACACGTCAGCAGGGATCAACTTCAATCCGCACAGGTGGGGAGAGGGAGGGGGGAAGATGTGGGGTGAGGTGAATCAAGACTGATCCATCCCAATTGTCGGACCTGACATATCTGCAACCCTCTGTTAGGGAATGTGGTAATGCAAGGATTTGGAGGATGAAGGGAGAGGCGGGAATGCTGGGCAGGACTTCTTGCAGGGTGAATACATCGACGTCTCCTCATTTGGTATTGCTGATGCACAGAGCTATGTATGTCTAGCAGTGACTTATGTGAGCTGGACTGCATACAGGAGATAAACTGTCTATATGGATAGCACTCGGCTGGTTACAAAGCCCCGCCTGACTGGCTTGTGCTCATTATCGCCTGCAAAGCGCGTTTGGAAAGGACTCTGGGGCCCAGAGCAAGTATTGGAATCACAACGAGAGAAAAGAACCACGTGAGATGCTGACTTGCTGAAACTCCAAGCTATATAATATGTACTCAAGTGCAATCTTATCAACAATATATACCTCCCACCACCTAGGCGCGATAGTGCTGAGTGAAGTCGTACTGTAGCCGCTCCGCCGCCTTCGCGAGTTTTTCCGCCACAGCCGGATCAGTTTCGGCCACCTTGCATGCCCGGAGAAAGTCCGAATCCTGGAGTGCTGTCTCTGGGTTCTGCTCGAACAGCAACCGGATATTCCCGCTGGACGTCGGATTCACGATGGTGTTATACTTGGACCGCCGAACGCTGTCGTAGATGTCCAGGATGTCTTCATCCGCCTGGCCGGAATAGATGCCGGCGAGGCAGTCAAAGAGTCCTCCCACGTCCACGATTCCACCCGTGAGACCAAGACCACCAAAGGGATTACATACTAACCAAAGATTCATTTGTGTCAGGTACGCAGGAGCGGTGCAGGAGGGAGCCAGGAGACAGAGGGAAGAAGCACTTACGGTGTGCAGCATCTGCAGCCAGAAGGAAGCGACCGACCCGCACCTTCTTGGCCAAGCGCTGGTGCACCTTGTAAGGACTGAAGTTCACGATCTTGTATTCGCTTGGCTCGGGGTGGCCGGGCAGGAAGGCCTTGAACTTAGCCGGCTGCCGAGCCTGAAGCTCCTCCATGCGGAGCCCACCGACCTCTCCGTAGGTCACGCGCCAGAGGCCATCGTTCGAGATCCGGGCGGCCATGAACCAATGCTCGGGGTCGATGATGAAGTTGGAATCCCAGTCGAACCCATGCTTCTCGAAGGGGTAGTATGTCTGGTAGTGCGGCAATACGGTCAGCGCGGAGACTCATTTATTGTAGGTTGATGGGGAGGAGGTGGAGGTCAAATCGCCAGCAACAAGGGGGCGTAAAACCTACATTCGTTGCAACGATCTGCTTATCCCAAGTGAACCCGGGAAACTCCCAGTCCCCGAACAAAGAGCGGCGAATCTGGCTGTTGGCGCCGTCGCATCCCACGATGTACCGTGCCTCCAGCGTCTTCGCCCCGTCGGGCGTGTCCACGTGCACCCAGGCAGTTGTATCGTCCTGGCCCAGGCCTGTCACCCTGTGGGAGTAGAGGAGCTCCACTTGCGGCAATTTCGCGATGTTCCGTTGAAGGACCATGTTCAATTGGTTCAGCGGCAAGCAGGTCAATGGGGTCGGATTCTGATCCGGGTCCGTGGACTGCGGCAACCCGGCCAGAATTTCACCGTTGAGCTTGCGCCAGCACGCTCCGTTCGGGATGAAGGATCCTTCGGCTTTCATCTCTTCTAATATTCCCGCGCGACGAAGCTCCTGCACCGCGGCGGGCGCATAGTGGGTAGCTCGGGGACGGTCGTCGAGGGCATCAGCGGCTTCGAGCAATCGCACGGGGATTCCTTGCTGGCCGAGCATTAAGGCCAAGAGTAGGCCGCTGGGGCCAGCGCCCACCACGAGGACAAAGGGGGGCGACATCAGAACGGGCCAGGAGGATCGATTTGAGACTATGGGCATAGGGAACGGGCGCAGAAGAGGTAGTGACACCTGATCAATGGCCCCGAGCCGATCATATATGGCAAAAGGTTCATTGTAGAGGGTGGGGCAAGAGGAAGGTGAGATGGCAATAGTATGAGGCCGGATTAGCGGTAGAGGTGTGGGGGGCGGGGGTTATGGAGGAGAAGGGGAAACACGCCCCCACATACATGACCCCCAAGAGGAGAGCTTCACCTGCACCTATAACTCATTGCTTACCGCTCGTGCTCCGGTGGTAGCGGGGATTATGAGGGGAGGTCTAATGGCACAGAACGCATACTTTGGCGTGAAACGCAAAAGAGGACAAACTTTACGCTTCGGCCAGCATACCTGGCGTCTGACCACTTCTTGACGCCTACGACCTTTGAGGGTCAAGATGCCATTCCGGTCTCTTGTTCCGACATTATCAGGGTGTCAGCAATGATATGGAGGACTTTACAATATTCTTGAACGTTCCATTGGCCCACTTCTTCAAGTTGAAAGGCCACGTTCATGAACGACCGCCGGGCTGCCCCGTACGGATTGCGATACTCGGCACCACGGAAGCTGACAGGCCCGCCGTTCTGGATAAAGTTCACAGTCGCTGAAGAATTGGGATGGGCGGCCGAGGCATCTTCCGGAAGATCGGGGGCGCACAACCCCATCGAGCCAACTTGGGTCCAGTCAACATGGTCGAAGAGGTCAAAGGATGCAATCTTACTCCCACTCCAGTCGAGCGCAGTGAGTTGATAGAATCCCATCACGAGGGCGGCGTGAAACAGCGCCAGTTCCGTGTGCAGCATGAGCCCATCCGAGCGACGATGACGCGTGATGAGCACGAATATTTGGGCCGCGTGCAGGCACGCCCGTCGCGCGGCGGACGATCGTGCCCACAGTCGCAGTTTTGCCAAAGCGACCTTGGCCATATCTGGCCCGTTACGCCCCGCAGCGTCCTCTATAGTGGCAAGATCAGTGGTGAGCGAGATGCCGAGGTAATGCCAGAGAATGAACAAGTTGGTGTTGCCGGTCTCGAGTTCTGTCCGGCAGCTGTCGAATGCCTGCACTAGGGCGGCGCCCAGCGCGCTAGGCGTGCCATTATAAGAGCAGCCATTTAGCAGCCCGGGTTTGGGAGAATAGGTTTCCAAGAACCACGGCGCCGGTTTCTGCATTTGATGGCTGAAGCTCCAGATCCACAGCCAAATCACGGTCAAGACGACCTCGAGGCCAAATCCCGTCATCCCCGCGGGCACCGGATTTCGCGGATCAAGAGGTGCGGCTAGTGGCTGATGCAACCAGGTGTCGGGGCCGATCTGGTTCTGCCACTTCTGCGCGGAGGCCAGCATGAACAGCTCGTCCTGGCGTACGAGAGGGATGAGAATAGATCCCGGCGCGAGAATAGGAGCGACCCCCAACACCTGAGCCGAGTAGGCATCGGTCAAAATCAATGAGGCGGCCAGGCTGGGTCCCGGTTAGCCAGGGGGATCGATTCGGAGACAGGGAGAGGAATGGTTTACCGTTGCGCCGACTGAATCCGGGCCCATGCTTTCCATCGCGCATCCTCCGCGTCCGCAGCCGGGAGAAGGGACTCATTCAGGCTGCGCGCGGAAAACAGACCCCTGTCCCGCGCTAGCTGCGAATCCCCGATCATGCATAGTGTTAGTCGGTTGGCCCTCATAGTGGTGACGCACAGAGGACGGGGAACGGACTCACCGATAAAGTTTCCTCATAGAGTGCCTGGCGCAGCTCTTCGTATGCCAACTCCTAAGCGTGCTGGTCAGTATCTCGGCCCATCCACTCGACCATGGACGCACGTACCGGTGTAAAGGCGGCAATTGAGAGCAACAGACATGCTGCTCCTAGGGTGGTCAGCAGCTCAGGTCCCGGGCAATGGCGGAGCCGCGGTGACGTCAACTCGGCTCGACAGTGTTCAATGGCGCCCCGGGACCCTCGGAAGGGAAGTACATTAGCCTTGTCCGAGAACTTGCATATGGGGACCCCTTACTGGGATATGGGTCGCGATCAGACCGCGCGCCGTGGTCTTGTTGAGGAGAATTAAGCCCACGAGGCACATGGGAAAAAGAAAGATACTTGGAGTGAGCGAGGCGTTGAAGGTTCCAGGATGAACAAAAGGCAAATGGACCTGAAAGTGTGAAAAGTAGAGGTCAAGACACAGATCAAGGATGTCTGTCGGGGGGAGTTCGCCATTCCACGGGCCACAGCTGGACGACCCGGCACTGCTGGATCCACCATCCCCACGATCCGGACTGGAAATCGCTCCGTAGCCGCGAGTATCCTCCACCAAGCGATCCCGGCACGCATCAGTTAGACCCCAGAAGGAATCTGCTGGATCCGGCGGGGTCTCCAGCGCCGGGCTTGAGAGAATATTGTCTTCTGGATGTCGAACGATCTCATCCCAGGAGAAAAGGGCCGGGATGGTGGGCCCAGTTCTACGGCGTCTCGGCCAGAGGCGTCGGACTCGCTCAAATTGTTCATTCGAGATGCCGTTTTTGGAGCAGAGATGATGGAATGGGGGGAGGCTGGGATTGATATCGGCCATGTCCGGGCTCCCCACGAGAATGGACTGGAAGTCTATCTCCTCCGACAATTGGTGGTTCACCACGTGGGAGTCGGCTGCTTGAGCTGGCGCCGATGCCCCCAGTGAAGGGTCAATCATCCGGTCGAAAGTCCCAAGCATGGGAGTTGGCATCGAGGCGATCGTTGGACCGGAGATCGCCCGGGCACTGTTTGGTTGCAGGTCGGGGCACTCGTCGAGGTACCGCTGCAGGCCTTCCAGGCAGGAGGCGTCCATCCCAGTGGAGCCATCCAGATGGGGCAGCTCCCAGTCATGAACCATGACATCCGGGAGCGGACTGGGCGGGGAAACGGGCGGAGTGGGTGAGGGCACCGCCGCCAGCCGGGCGCTCGGGGAATCCGCTCGGGAACTCGGAAAACCCGCTCGGGGGCTCTGCGTCCCGGAACGCACTCTCGTGCCATTGCCCTCGATGAGCTTCCGCGCCCGCCCTGCTCCGTCCATCATCTCCACCTCCGGATGGTGATGACGAATATGGCGGTTCAACACGTCGCTGATGGGCGAATTCTAATCAGCGGCAGAGCAGCCATAGATATAACCGACGGACTACAAGAAGCGACGCATACCTTCTGGCATAAGCTCGTCCGCATGAAGCACAGCCGAACGGTTTCTCTCCCGTGTCTATCGAATCCCAACACTCAGTCAGTGATGAGGGAATGGTAGGAATGGTAGGAAAGTCCTCCCAACTCACGACATCGTTGATGACGTCGTAAATGCTCAACTTTGGAAAAGACACGATGGCATTTCGCGCACTTTCGAGCCGCAATATCGTGCTGTTTCATGACTAATTTGCCAATCAATCAATCAATCAATCCAGTGGTCGTGTTGTGCTTGTAGGTGGAAAGTAGGAAGGATGTGACAGAAGGTGATAGTGGGAAGAGGAACGAATGCAAACGCTCTGGAAAAAGGAGACAGCGGTTGGCTTGACCCCACAATTGGCCAGCTAAACTAAGGGCGCCACAGTGCGGGGAACCAGTCAATATCGGTAACCAAGACACATATGAAGAAATAAGCAGTAAAGTTAGAATTGCTGATCGATCAGCAGCAGTAGGTCATCCGTGTTCCGTACATGAACAAAGACATTTATACACGCTTGACCGGGCAGCCTGTGCAGCCTTTGGAGAGTCCTGTACTGGACAGTACTGGACGGTATTGGATAGTAACTAGGTACCGTACTGTACACAGAATCTACCGAATTGCCGAATAGCATTGCACGAATTAATTACATCATCCCCGCTGGCTCAGGTCATTGAACGCGGCGTCTTGCCGATCATGCCAAAATCGGGTGGAAGCGGTGTCGGCAAGTGTGACGCCTCAGCTCTTTTCCAAGCATCATGATCAGCTGAGCGTGGTGCGCCGACTGGGGTTCGATGGCACATACGCAGTGATGCGGGATGCTCAGCAATCTACGCACCATCGAGGTCGTGGGTTCGATGATCTTCCCATCCGCCCCTATGTTTTTCCAAATGCTTAAGCCCCAGAGGGTCCGGGCAATATCAATGTACAAGGATCGTTCGGCGACGTGCACCCCGGGACAGATTCGCCGGCTAGCCCCGTAGGTATAATGATCCCGCTGGTAAGGATCGGCGATGTTGATGTACTCGGCTGCGGACAGACGATATTTTAGGTATCGTTCGGGCTGAAACTCGTCCGGGTTGGCATAGAGCTCTGGATTGCGATGAATCGCCCTGCGTGTGCAGAAAGGTTGGTGGACAGTTCGTCCGTCTGCAGGAGGCATAGGGTCAAAGTTCAGCTGGACAGGCAAAACCTACCATCAAATCAAGATGACAACCGATCCCTTGGGGATGAAGTATCCATCGTACCAATCGTCGTCGCTCGTGGCATGCATCATGCCGAATTTGTACACAGGCCGCCAGCGCAGGGTTTCCTCGATAATGGCGCGGATGTAGGGCAGGTTAGGCTCGTCCTCCCAGCCGGGAGCCGGTCCCGGCCGACCACCTGGTCGAGTTCCTGCAGGGCGCGCTGCAAGACCGCCGAATTAAGGGCCATCGCTAGGAGCCAGTTGTTCAGCGTGGTCGCGGTCGTCTCACTGCCTGCTTCGACTAATCCGCCGCAAGCGTAGGCCACCATGAGGTTGTTAATTTCCGCCTTCTCGGGATCCTTCAGGTAGAAGCTTTTGCAGAAACAGTTCGCGGCGGTGCCTTGACACACCTGCCGTTTGAGCTCCTCCCAAAGCTCCAGATAGACCTTGGAGTCGGGATTGAAGACGTGCCGCACCATCGGGGGCCATACTCCATGAAGAGTTGACGGCGGCGAGAAATCCTGACTCGTTTTGAGTTCTCGGCGCACATCTCGCCTGGCTGTAGTTGGTTGCAGCCAAGAATTCGGCAAGATATGAGATACGTAGGTAGCCGCCGGGTTGCAAAATATCTAGACCCTGAAGGTTGCGACCCGGCACTGGTAAATCGCAGTGGATATTCATTCGGGCAATGAGGCACGGTAGCTTGGAAGCAAGGAACAGTGTAGATGTTAATCCTTATACCCCATAATTTGGGCCTGGGAGCTATACTTACCCATTCTCTCTCCCCTCTCTTCGATGTTCCATCTTTCCCCCCGCACCCGGGCCAACCCCATGTCCCCACCATGATTCACCCCACCTGTCCTGCGCAAAGCTAGATAAGTGGCATAGAGGGGTTGTTCCGCAGTCTGTCCCTCAATCTCAAGCCCCCCTCCCCTCTCGCAGTCGTTGAAATCACTAGGACGTACTGCCCCGAAGAGACTAGAAATGCCGTCCGTCATCAACTATTCGCACCCTTCGCTGGGGGTTGTACAAGGGTTAGCCTCTGCCTCCACCCATCAATTTCAAGGCGTACCCTATGCCACGCTGGTGAATGCATGGGCAGCCCCGTCGGTGGTAGAAGGAGATCCAAGTGGCTCGATCGATGCTACAACGCCTGGGTAAGAGTTTCCCGTGGTTTTTCCAGTGACTGGTGACCAGCTTTGTCCAATCTGACTGACCACTCGCAAGACCAACGGCTCCCTCTCCACCGATAGGGGTAGAGATGGAATTTGATCACCTGCAGCAGCGACTCCCCACCCCCAACCTCCATCAATCGGCGACCCAATGTCTTAACTTGAACATTACCACGCCTGCTGATCACTCCCGCGAATCCCGTCTGCCCGTCATCGTCTTTCTGCATGGTGGAGGGTACGCGATTGGCGCCAATTCCTGGCCGCAGTACGACTTCAAACGGCTGATTGAATTGTCGTTCCGGATTGGCCAACCCGTCATTGGGGTCAACGTCAAGTAAGCTGCCTGAATAGCCATCCCGGAATTGTCTTCATAGCATGGCCGCTGACAAAAGGTATCCAAGCTATCGATTGGGAGCGTGCGGGTTTCTGACCTCGGAAGAGCTGGTAACGCGTGGCTATCCCTCTAACAGGGGCCTTTTGGATCAACGAGCGGCTTTGCTATGGATCCAGAAGTACATCGCAGGTTTTGGCGGAGCGCCGGAGAGCGTTACGCTGGTCGGCCAGAGCGCAGGTGGAGGTCCGTTTGCTCCTTTCCTCCTTTTTCCTTCTTCCTCCTTCCCGACCAGTCCGATACACCCATCCAGGATCGAACCCACCCAGCTCATACATGAACATGCACAGTTTCTGCCACCCACCATCTCCAGTCAGAATTGCCTCTGTTCAAGCGCATGGTAAGCATGGGCGGCACGAATCTCCTCATGAGGCCCCTTCCCGACGCAGTGACCGAGCTGACCTACCGCGGGTATGTGGATCGACTGGGGCTGGGCTCACTGTCCGCCGCGGAGCGGGTTCAGGCCCTAGTGGCGTTGGACTACGATAAGATTGTCGCTGCTTTCTCCCCGGCGGATGCCTTCCTGCCAGCGAGCGGGGGCGAGCTGGGACTGATAGACCACACCTATGCAGAGATCTACGAGGGCGATGCTGGTCCCCTTGTGCTTCCCGGACGCAGATGGTGCGAAAAGATCATGATCGGGGACTGTCAACTGGATGTAAGTGCACCGTCCTCGGGTCTGGGGTGGTGAGGGTGTGTGTCTCGCGCTAACTCAGCAACAGGGCAGTATCATGTCCACAATGCTTCCCTACGATCCGGCCATGGTTGCTTCTACCTTCCGCAAGTCATTCGAACGCTCCCTTGGGTCAGCGGAAAAAGCTCAACTGGTAATGACGGAGTACGGCATCCGCGAGGAGTCGGATGGACAAGAGGCCTATGACCGGATCTTGACATTTGTCACTGACCTCTGCTTCTTCCTACCTATTCTACACTACGGACACTGCTGGTCTGGCCAGGCCTATCTGTACAACTTCAACGAGCCCAACCCCTGGGACGGACGCTGGAGCGGCCGCTCCAACCACATCCTCGATGTGGCCTTTCTGTTTCAGAACTACAACGAGCGGCTGTCCGAGCCCCAGCAGGCCGTGGCTATCCAGTTTGCAGAGGATCTCATTACCTTCGCTCATGGTGGGGACCCGTGGAAGCCATTCAAATGGGAGACCAAGGATCTGCATGTTCGGGTTTACGGAGGGCGCGCGGCGGAGACCGCGGGCAAAGTTCAGACCGTGCTGGCTCCCGAGCCTCGTACTGAGCGCAGCACCTCAATTCTGACCCTTACGGAGACGGTTCCCGCCGACGAATTGTCGCGAGCTTGGGCTGTGTTTCTGTCTGGGCATTAGGTTGCGTTGACTAGCGGGCTGAGATTACCGGAATCGATACTCCGCCATGTAGATTGTTCGTTGCCAGTCGCGTAGCTACGGCATAGCAAGAAATTGACTCTATAATGCGTGCACTTCAATATATTAAGCTTGCGGAAGACAATATGCTCTATGTTGACTTGACCGGTAAGATCGTGTACCATGTTCAGCACTGCAGGGCTTTGTCTGGTATACGGACGGAGCAATCACCGGCAGAATGTTGCTTCAGCTAGACATGCAAACCCATGTCATTCCCGTGTGCTGTTTTGCCCTTCAAAAGGTACCCAGAACCTCACCTGCGGTGTCCCAGGGCGTCTCGGGGCGCACCACAGTTAAATCTCAGAATCGAGATGATTGTAAGGTTGACTACTAGAGTCTATCTCGATTCTTTATCACCTTAGGCCCCTCAAACCTTTTAGTTACATATGAATTTGCATGGTGGGTAGATACTGGTGTAGGCGGTTGCGGGCTGCTGCGCGAACATATAGGGCCCTCCTTAGAATCATTATATACTGAACCCCGACACTTCGACAGGATATTATCAACAGTTTCGTTGTTTTTCTCTTATATCATTCTTTTTTCTTTCAATCTCAAAAGAATAAAAAACATGGAATCACACTCTCCTGGTTAGATCATCTTTTTATTCTTGTTCTTGCTGCCCAGTTCGAGCCCCCACATAGCCATGACATAGTATGTGGGGTGCTGAAGCTCCCTTTTTGTAGCGCCGCTCGAGCGAACAAGGCATGCCCTCAAGCTGTGTTGAGACGCGTGTGAGAACTATCTAAAAGATGCAATGCTTAATCTTCCATCAGGCCATGGCACATCGCGCTAGAGGCCGGATCCCTCTTGATTTTTGTCCCCTTGCCTTCCGCCCCCTACTTTCCTATATATCTTTACCCCCATACGCTGTTATCTTGATTCCACCGTTTGACACCCAGCCCACAATTGAGCTCGCGTTGACCTTACCATGGGCGACGATTGTGCGATGACAACGACGGGGAGGAGACAGCATGTCTGCAACATCTGCAAGAAACGGTTCCTTCGCCGCGAGCATTGCGTGCGCCATCGACGCGGTCGTCAGTGCTCCCCACGCCCGTTATTCTTTAGTGAAATCCTCCAGTGCCCCCGCTGAACACTTTTTCTTTTATTCAGATACCCGCGAACAGCCGTTCCAATGCCGATACTGCGTGAAAAAGTACAGTCGCACGTGAGCTCCTTCGACCCAATCCCCTTCCCCCGGCTCACTTTCCCTTGACACTTGGGAATGGAGGAAGTGATCTGTAGAGGAAAAAACTGATGGGACGGGATTGAACTAGAGACGTCCTTATACGGCACGAAAAGACGGCCCATGGGGACAAATACGGCGCCCGACCCTCCATTTGGGAGGTCAGCGCCGCAGCATCGCCCACAAGTTCCCCCATAGCACATCAATTCGAGCCCGCGGCCCCCGACAGCCCCGACATGACCCACTGGCGCAGCTCCACGGACCCCATCCAGCACGCGCTCACTGTCCAGGATTTTACCACCCTCCATGCGGAGGCACATTCGGCGAGCTATCTTATTCCACTCTCTTCGATGCAGACGCAGACTCCATTACCGGCCTGTGGACAGGAGAAACTGCCGTATGCGACTCCCGCAGCCACGGAGTTCACTGGGTGGTCGTCGCCCCGGGTGGAAGATGCGGATTGGCTTGGGATGGAGGTCGAGGTGCGCAAATTTCACGACCTGGGCTGGAAGGAGAATCCGAGCCTGATGCCCTGCGTTGGGCTTAACACGAGACTCGAGGGTAATGAAATGGCGGAGCATGAGGCGGAGGACGGCCGTGGCGATAGCAACGAGCTGCTGGGCTCGTTGGGTCCTATGTTCGACCCGCTCTGGCACCCTCTTATCACCCGCCGGGCAGCGGTCACGGGATATATGCTTGATCGACATCATGATGCTCTGCATCGCGCAGGCCTTCTGAATACATGACTCTTGAGCGGGTTGCGACTGATGGGAAATGCGAGGCGCAATGTAGTTATTTTTGCATAGGATCCAAGATATTGACGGTTCGCCATTGAACTGAGGGAAACTCTCATATCTCATTCCTTTCACCTGCCCGTCTGTGGTAAACTTCCCGTATAAGTGCCTCGGATACGACCAAAGAATGGCTCTTGGGGCTACATATCAGGGCATGTGCATGATGTAAAGCCACACTCCACAGTGCTCCCGACAAAAGCCCACAGCGCTTTGCCACTCGTAGCAGCTCCCAATACCAAACGGTGGAGAACGTATCTGCCTCTCTCCTTCCCCCAGAGCCCATCTGTGTGGAATCTCGGGACTGTGACTTATGTCCAGTAACATGATCCCAGATCCTGCACAACAGGCAATACAGGCAGTCAATCCAACAAAAAAAAGATTCATTTATCAGCTGTTGAAAGATGACCGCAGACACCACAGAGAACATCGCCTTTATTGGTAACATCCCTCCCTTGCCCCGCCTGCATCAGATTGCTTAGGGTTGCCCGTCGTCGTGGCCGCTGCTAACCGCGGTGAGTCTTCAGGCCTGGGTGCCATGGGATACGCCATGGCCCAAAATGTGCGCAAGAGCATGCCGTCAACAGGGCGGCTGTACATCTTTGACGTCTTTTGCAGCGCATGTGAGCGGCTCCAGACCGAGATGGAGGGGACCGGCGCGGTGGTGGTGGTTGAATCTGCTCGAGAAGCCGTGGAACAAGCACCGACGGTCATCTCCATCGTTCCCAACACCGCCGACATTCGACAGGTTTACCTCAACAAGGAAAACAGGGTGATTGCGGCCACCCGGAGGACCGAGCATTTGATTTTGGAGTATAGTACTATCTCTGCTCGAGCCATCCGCGTATTGTAAAAGCAGTCTAGCTGAATTTATTATAATTGCTTCCCAGGGTATAGTGTAGGGGACTGATATTCAGAGATCTATTATATTACTTCCCTGTACTAATTCCTACTACAAGTTCTGCAGAACCTCATATGAGATTAATAACTGGATACCTAAACTATTATCTTACCGTACTCTATTTTCTCTCTTATTACCTTGGTATATGATTATATATATATTATAAAAATGAAAATAATTATACCGCAGGAGTAGTATATCTAATCTTGACTAGAAGCTCTCCAAGGTAACCGCTTTCATTAATAAAAAGCTTTCAAATAATAATAATATAATAAGATATTATTATAAGCTCCATGCCGGTAAATCAGATATAGAATCTAAAATATATAATCAGATTTCTGTATTTACTATCCAGACTAATAAAAATATATTATCTAGGATCTCAGGTTCTTATCAATATAATACTTAACATATAAAGTCTAAAAACTTATATTTATCATTATATTAAGAACTTTATATAGGACTTTCCTGGATAAGGATAAAAATTTCATCTGTTTTCTTTTTCCCGGAGATACTTATTCCTATTTGTATATTAATCTTAATATAGCACGAGACATGGTAGTCTGTATACAGAATTTAAAGATATATTAAAAGATATATATTGCACTGGCACACAATACCTCCTTTATCAAGGATGGGCAGAATACAGTACACTATTATTATTACTTGACAAGCAGGGTCTGAATGGGTGGGATGCTACCATTCACAAGCAGAGGCCTATCTAGTCCCCAATGTCTTTGATTCTTGATGGGAAATGCCCCAAATGATGACTTGAAAGGAAGAAGAGTAAACCACTCGGGAACTGATGTGCAGAGGTGACGAAAGAAGATACAAATAACAGGAATAAGCCCCCACATTCTACACCCTTTTCCTTGGGGAGAAGCCCTGAAGCTAACAGATGGGGCCAGCTGGGGAAACCCCACTCTGCATGGGATACAGCCCTAATTCATTTAGGGATGCAAGTACCTCTATGCTGGTGAGTCTCTAGTTGCGATACCACATTCGACCCAAGAGACTTATAATATCACCCAACACGAATTTATGTACATACACAATATACAGTAAACATTCCACACTCAATCTACCACCATCCCTTGCGCATTCACCTTGACCGAACCCAGCATATAGCCCTCCTCCTTAGCATGCTGCCACTCCCTGCGGATCAACCCCACCACCTTGTCACTCCTCGGGACGAATCGCAACTCACTGGGCTTGGGAAGAGTGTTCATCCCCTCCTCGTACGCGGCGTCGGACACATCAACAGATCCGATCTTCCCGTCGTCAGTAAGCGGGGGGAGGATCTCAAAGGCCCAGACCAGGCACGCGATGGTGATGAACAGGCTATTCTCGGCCAAGTGCATGCCGGGGCAGATGCGGCGGCCTGCGCCAAAGTCGAAATGATCGCGGGCGTACGGGTCGGCGTGAGCGGCGTATGCCCCCGCCTTGAGGGGATGGTGGAGATACCGGTCCGGCACGAAGTCGTCTGGGTTCTCGTAGCGCGACGGATCGAAGTGTAGCGCGTATTGATTGATAGCAACGGTGGTGTTGGCGGGGATAAACCAATCTTTATACACAACGTCCGCCGAGGTGTAGTGGGGAGAGCCCAGGCTGTGAGTAGAGGGGATGGGTCAGTATGCGAAAGACATCAGGGTGCTTGGGGTGTTTTTTACTTGGTGACCGGGCGAATTCGCAGAATTTCCTTCACGCAAGCACGGATGTAGGGCAGCTCCGCCTCATCGCTAAAGCTAGGGAGGCGGTCCTCACCCACCACACGACGGAGCTCCGCGAAGGCCTTCGCCTGGGCTTCCGGATAGGCCGCTAAGTACTTGACACAGGAGTTGAGCGCGGAGGAGGTCGTCTCAGAACCTGCCTCGATCATTGCTGCAGAGAAGAACCATTAGTCCACCCGTCGGCAAGCGACTGAGAAGTGCATGATGAGAACATACTTCCGGCAACAAAGCTGGCTTGCAGCTCGCTGATACCCATGTTTTCATAGTCAGAGTTGATGAACTGCTTCACAAAACAATCCGGGGCTTGGTTCTTCTCCATCTGCGTCCGGAGGCGGTTCCAGTATTTCATCCAAATGACCGCCTGTCGGTTGAAGGACCGGAGGGCGGCCTTTCTCCACCACTGCATCCACTGAGGGAGGTATGCCAGCACCTGGAAGGTCTCGGCTAGGTATTTTCCGGGCGTGGCAAATTCGCTGAACTCCTGCATCAACCCGTAAATCTCGCGGATGTCTTCGCATTCCTGAGGGAATGGTACTGGAGTTAGCGCTGACCTCGACCGGAGGGAGGGAATCAAACACTTACCCATACTGGGACGCGGCGTCCGTAGGTCGACGTCATCACCACTGGTTTCGAGAAAATTAGCACCGGACGACCGGGGATTTTGACGGCGCAACAGGGACTGCCCACGTACCCGAGGTCGTATACCGTCGAATATGCATGTAGAAGTTCTTCTGATTGTCGTTGTCCGTCAGAATATCCCACAGCAGCTGCTTGACCTCAAACTCCTGCGACGGAATGAATTCGTTGGATGCTTTCGGGGTCAGAAGTTTGTGCACGATGGCACGAAGCTGCCGCCACTCTGCCGAGTAGGGCATAAGAAGGAACCTGAAGACTCGCGTACATCCTAGTTAGTGGGCTGCATGGCGTTTCTTGGACAAGATGCGTCTTTTCTCCCTTACTCACCTCATCCCGCCGGAGAGCAAATCAGATACCACGGGGCTCGGTGCGCGTGAGGAAGTGTGCTGCGACTGCTTGTCGAAAATCTCTTTCACCGCCGATGGACTATTTGCATAGATCCAAACCTGGCGCCCGAACCGCACTTGGAACAATTCGCCGTATTCGACGGCCCATTTGCGGAGTTGTTGTTGGGGATATGCTCCCATGGCAGTGACATTCCCAGCAACAGGCACCTCCCGGAGCCCTTGGGGCAGTTTCCGTGCCCTTCCGACTCGCAGGAACAGGAACACTGCAGTGACCGCGAGAATCGCGACAGTAATGAGAGCCATTGGTGCCAAATGAGGGAATCGGTCAGTTAATTGAGTGGTGTACAGGAGTGGCTTTTTGACGGCTGTGCGGCACCAAACTTGTCAACCTGGCGGGCTAGGGCTATTTGAAATGCAGTAAAGGAGGCAGACGGAGGGAGACTGGGGAAACCCAAGCTTTTTACCCCACATGAATAGTCCACTCTTTTACCACACCCGAGTGTTACTGAAAACACTACACCGACACTCACACCTTTCAGATCCACCGAGGTTGAACGCCCTTCAAACGCTTGAAATTATTATTGGGGGCCCCATCGTCTCAACCCAACCGCGAAGCCCGCCGCGGAGACCGGGAGAGCACCCAGCTGCCTGCCACCCCCTTGGAGGGACCAGATCTGCGTCGTCGTTCACCCCATTGACGGGGGTCAGATCACTCTGTGCGAACGTTACTCATCGCGCGGGTCACGGTTCCCTCTCTGAGCTTCCTGATCGCTCACCCCAGGGCTATCCTGCCCCGATACCTGCTCTTCGACCTGGGCCTACGCAGCCGGCTTGAGCGCTATCTCCCCGCGCAGCAGGCGCCCTTAACCAATCATGTTGCTCCTTACCGGCTGGGTCGGGGGGTTGCGCAGCATTTGCGCGACGGGGGGTTGGATCCGGACGCCGTCGACACCGTCATCCTCAGCCACCTCCACTACGACCACCACGGAGACCCCGGGGATTTTCCGCAAAGTCGTTTCATCGTTAGAGCCGGCTCGTTATCCCTGCTCCATCGCGGATTGGAAGGCACGAGTGTCTCACACCAGGCTTTCGACGCAGAGCTCTTCCGCACTGTGCAGAGCAGCGGCGCCGTACACGAGCTGCCGGATCCTGAGGCTGCTGCTCCATAGGTGCCACTGGGGCCTTTACCCGCGGCGCTGGACCTCTTGGGGGACGGGTACGTCTATGTGGTGGACGCCCCGGGCCACCTGCCGGGCCATCTTAACCTGCTCTGCCGGCTGGGACTGCATGGATGGATTTATCTCGGTGGGGATAGCTGCCGCGACGTACGGCTGCTCAACCCAGAGCGCGGGATAGTGACCCGAGAGGATAAGCAAAGCGTTTGCCACTGTATCCACCTGGACCGGACGCGAGTTGAATATACTCTGCGGGAGGCCAGCGCGCGAGAGGGGGCGGAGTTAGAGGTTGTCATGGCGCACGACGTCCAGTGGTGGGAGAAGAACCTGCGATGTACACGCAGTTTCCCGCCCACTGCGATATACATGCTGAAATACGACTTTGTATCTTGCTTAGTTACCTGGGAATTAGCAGAACCGACATGAGTACTTTTACAGCAGAACTCTACTCCGAATGCCTTTCAAGGTTACACTAATTGCCTTAAAGGCCACAATTGGCCTGATTTAGGGTTGCTTGTGCGGACCCTGATGCACCCCATGTGGACCACAAACGTGTAAAATCCAATACCCTTGATACCCATCCCAGTGCCGAAAATTACCTTTGGCAGGGATAGCTGCTAATGAGGGTTCATCGACAAGCCTGCTCTTGCAAAAGACATCTATCTAGATTGTAATATGATAAGTATGATCCAGGCGGGGTGAATGCCAAGAAGGCTTCCCGAACTTATGTGGGGTGGATACCAAGAATACCTCACCCTCTCTATGTGCGGGAAGTGCGGAAGTGACTCTTCCAGTACGTGATTGTAGTAAGCAGAGTTGAATTATCGTAGTCACCGTCAACCGGCGAAAGAGCACCCTATCTCTTACATTCGAGGCTTTGTACAGTACATACATCCGCCGGCTAGGGTCTCGGTTACTATCTATACCAGATGATGACTTTGAACAATGCAGAGAGATCTAAGTAATGTACACGTCGCTCCGGATCATATACTGGCGCAGAGTAGTAGGGCTTTTAGGATATCGTATTGGATGGAACAAGCAAGAATAATAAAAAAAAGAGAAAAACATACAACAGAAGGGATTCGCTGGTGGTCACCCACCCAACTACTAACCTCCCGGCGTGTGGCTTAAGTACGGCTGAGCGGACGGGAAGCCCTGTTTTCCACACCCTATGGTCGTATGTACTGGATGTAACTGGGGTATCAATGATATAGTGTCTTGGAGAGTTTACTACTTGGATGCGTTGTTAATGATCGTGGAGCCAGTCAAGTAAGGTGGGTTCAGGAAGCCGAAAATAAATCACTATGGTTAACCTTTGATATCAACGCTTCTCATGGCTTGGATCTCTAATTTTACCCTCCGGGGAATGTCGCATTATGAATATGTTTTCTTTGCAGGCCACATATCGAGATGCTTATCTTAAATTCGCCATGAATACTTATGTATAAATATTATCAAATAATTTGCAAAGAAACCGAAATTTAAAGCCATGAAAGAAGGCTATCGACAATAGAAGTGAATAAACCAAAAAACTAAAATCTATATGCATATGCAATCTCCAAACAACAGAAACAATACAAAACCACAGAAGTAAGTCACATCATGCATACACATACCCCGGAATATACTAAAACAACAAACAAGAACAAACAACACCATCATGCAATCTATATGAAATCTATAAATCAATCTTATCTCCCCAAAAAGTCAAATATCATCGTCTATCCCAACATCCCTATAATCTTCTCAATCTCTCCCGCAATTTCATCAACGAGCTTATGCACCTCTTCAACACTCATAGCACCTCCTTCAACTCGAACACCGAACCCGATTGAATCCGTCTTGGCATCTGGACCAACGTCGATGAATATGTTTTCCGACGGTAGGAATTCCGTATCCAGTGCCGATACGGCAGTGACCTCTTCAGCCAAGGGCTGTTCGGGAATGAAATCTGTAGGGACACCGATCCGCAACGGGGAGAAGAAGTCCTCTGAACCATCTGATGTGGTATTGGTAGTTTGCGTCCAGAGGAGGTTCACCCAGGTGTTGAAGAGAGGTTTGTCAGGTGAGATCCACTGGAGGATGTTGCGGAGAGAACTTTGTTCGTAGGAGACGCGGTCCGCGAGAGAGGATTGGATAGCGCGAACTTGGGTGAGAAGGTCGGTGTTGACGGAGTTGATGTTTGCGTTGGGAATGGTGAAGGGGTTGACATTCAGACAGGGTCCGGAGAGGTTTTCGATGTTGTAGAAGGAGGCAGAGCGACCGGCTTGGTAGAGACCCATGGTTGGGTTTTGGACGTTGGTGAGACGTGCGATGCAGCGGGCTATGGCGAAGAGAATGACGGTTTGAAGGCTGACGTTGGAGGATCGGCATTTTGTTTCGAGCTGGGAGAGATCCTTGACCTTTTCCCAGACTCCGATGAAGAGCTGGTCTGGAGTGGATGGGGTATCGGTGCGAGTGTTGCGGATAATGGTCGGCGAGGCGTCACCGAGAGTAGTGTTCCAGTATTGCTTTTCATCGAGGTCCTGGAGAGAGCGCATTGAAAAGTCGACGAATGCAGAAAAATCTGTGTTTGTTTCGGGACTTTGGCCATTATAGAGCTGTGCTAGATCTTTAACGAACATCGGCATCGTCCATGCATCGTAAGCGGCGTGGTTTATGAGGACGAGGATGCCATCTCTGCCGCTAGCTTTCAGGAGACGGAGTCTGACGGGAGGTGTGTAAAGCGAGGATGGGTGGAGAGCTTCTTCTCTTGCTTGTGCTTGGGCTGCTTCGGAAATTGGGCTAGAGGTCTCGATGACCTGGAACGTGCTTGCATCACGCACCGCCTGCTTGAGAACAATCTGTACTGCTTCCGATGAGGATGTAGCTGCAAAGCAGGTGCGGAGGATGGGATGTCTTTGACGGAGCTGGAACCAAGCTTCCTCAATCTTGGCACTGTCGATGCGCTCGGAGCAATCGTAAGCCCAGGCGGGTTCGAGCAGCTTCCGTCCGGACTTCAACCAGCTGACGAGGTGATAGAACTGGCCACCTAGACAAGGTAGAATTGCTTCGACGGAGTCCTTGCTGAGATTGAGCTGCTGCAGTACAGTTTCTTCCACCTCGGCATAGTTTTCGATGAGTGAACCCTGAGGTTGGATTGTCTGTTCGGAAATTGGCCGGATACGTTGGCTGATACCACGGAGGGTGTTTCCCTGAAGGATGTCGGCTACCCCAATCTTCAACCCCTTCGATCGACAGATTGAAGCAATACGGATAGCTGTGAGAGAGTCCAATCCAATATTGAAGATACTAGTGTTTGGCTTGATATTGTCCACTGAAACTCCAGCGATTTCAGCGAGTACAGATTGGATGATGGCTTCATGGGGTGGTGCTTCGGATGCTTCAAGACCAGAGGCGAGCGACTGCTCAATGGCCAGCTTTGTCGGGAGCTCACCAAGTCCATGTGGCACAATCGTAGCGCATCTGGTAGGATGTTCGATGATGTCACGGAACGCAATGGCAAATTCATCCATGAGATGGTCAAGAGTTTCCTGGGAGATGTACCGGCCATTGCAAGTTGCTCGTGCCACAAGTCCATCGTGAGCATAGTCGACCTCAACATTCAGCTTATATTCTGCCTGCGCCGCGTAATCATCTGCTTCATAAGGCGTCCAAATCTGTTGTTCTTCTATGATACTGCCGGCGAAGTCCGCACTCTTTTGAAAGACGAATAGAGTATCGAACAGGACGGACGACGTACTGTTGTTAGCCTGCCGGAAGGAATTCTGTACAACTCTTAGTGGCGCGTTCTGATGGCTCTGCGAGTCGATTGTATGCTGTTGCAGACGCTGAGCCATAGACTTGTTGCTTAGGAACTTGGGCTCGAAAGAGACTCTCTGAGCAACTGTATTGAACATTGGCCCAAGGGTCCGTTCGGCACCTGCAACAGGTAACGAGCGACCAGCAAGGACTTGTCCGAAGACGACATCGCGTTTTCCAATCACACCTGCTAGTACCTTTGCATATGTCAGGAGAGATACACTCTGCACGGTGACCTCCATTGCCTTGCAGGCATCCACTATGGCCGACAAGTCAAGGTCAATCCGGCATTCAGAGAGAAACATGCGGTCTGACGACTCAGGATGAGGAAGCTCAGGAACTTCAGTCACTTCGTATCCAAGTAGATTCTCTGTCCAGAACTCGCAAGCTTCTTCTTGACCGCTTAGTAGATGTTGGACAGTCTCCGAGAATTGTGGCCTTATCGGAAGACTGCTCTCTTCATAGCACACCGCCAGGTCTTCGAAAAGGAAAGGGATGGAAGAACCATCATATAGAGCATGATGCAGAACAATAACCAATAATCTGCCTTCAGGCTGGTGGACTAGAGCAGACCGGATTGGTGGGACCTCGAAAGAAGCCTCTTCGCTGAAAGCATAGAGAGACTCGACTTCAGTCAAAACATCGGCCCCGGAAGGCAATGTGAGTTCTTCCCATTGAAAAGGAGGATTGCTGTGTACGGCACCAATCCAGGAAGAACCAAGCTCAGCGATCAAGTGGAAGGATGTACGCAGAATATCATTGGCCTCAATGACTCTGAAAAGAGCCTCCTTCAGCCGGATAGTATCTACAGAGTCCTTCAATCTGATAATGTGCGGGTGAACGTAAACCTTTCCGCTTGAAGCAATTGTCTGCGTAATCATTCCCGACTGCAGGGGCGTAGTTTCGAACATTGTGGAGATCGAATCATCCTCGGCAAGGCGTCGGACCTGTTCGCCGTAGGTGTTAACAGGAATACCTGTATTTGTCTTTCCGTGCCCATTGACGCCATTCACCGGGGTGCGAGAACGTGAAGTCTGCTCCACCTGCTGAGCCAAAGCTCCAACACATGAGAAACGCATAACATCAGCAGAGGAAACTTGAAGCCCTGCTTCACGTAGCTGACGCGCAAATTGGATCGCAGTCACCGAATCAACACCCAAACTCAAGAAAGAAGCACCTTTAGTTACTTCCGCCGAAGTCAGTCCGCAAAAAGACATCGTGTATTCACGAATCGTGGTTTCCGTGTTAGACCACGAGGTATTGTCCCAGTGCACAGCAGCACGCGATCCAGATGATGATGAGTGAGAGACATTGAAGTCGTCAAGCGAAAGTCTCTGACCCGCTGCAATGCTTGAGAGCACTGCGTCCATCTTCTCCATCATTTCATTTCCACTATACGAGGACCCAAATGCAGATGAGAAGAAGCAGTTGAGCTGAACTGTGTCCAAGGAATGGTTGGCTTCGACTTCTACTGCCAACGGATACTCTGCAGGCATATTGCTGTCTAGTTCCTGCCACAGGCGGTGTTCTGGTGGCGCAGCAGTCCTGATATATGAGAATAGACAGTCGAACAGAGGTGTCTCTGCATTGATCCATCTCTGTATGTGCCTGAGGGGAGTGTGCTG